AAAAGAAGACGTTTTTTTCCCTCTGTCTTTTTTTAGATCGTTCCTCAGAACTCTGGGCATTTTAAAAAATATCATATTTTTCCGTTTTAGTTATGAACGTGTCAAGACTCTGTGAGAGAACTCTAACTAACTGCAGAATAATGAAATCCACAAATCCACACCGAATACAAGTTTGAATATTTCTATACATCACTTTCTATATTTTTATGACGATGTAGTCATTAAAATAATCCAAATGGTCCCACAGAATTCAGGGTTTTAAGCAATGTGTTTCCAAGACTTTCGTGAGTACTGGATGAGGATTGTTTTTGAAATCGCTTTATAGAGAAGATTACAAAGAGAATTCTGTAGTTGACTAGATATTTTGGGGCTGAAAATAACTGGAATAAGACCTTAAAGACACTTTAATTAAACCTTTATATATAATGCATATTGCAATGCAAGTACTTTAATGCATCAATTGTAATGCACCATAAAATGCATTCTCCAAAGTTACACTACATTGTATTACTTAACTATTCATTATTATACCTTTAGAAAGTATACATTAAGTATGCATTTTTTTGATGACAACATTTTTTTATTTTTTTTATTTTATAATGCATTTTAACCTTGTGTGTAATTATTTATGAAAAGACATAATGCATTACAACATACATTATGAATAGCTTTATAATGCACTATGCATAAAGGCTTTAAGTAAAGCGTTTCCAAAAATGTAATTTAAAAAAATGACTTTTCAGGCCTGAAAATTAGAATTTCTAGGTTAAAGAATATTACAATATTACCATACTTGCTTAAAAAACATATATTTTATGATATTTTTTATTAGTTAATGCTTATTCTTATTAAAATATTTAAAAAAATAATAATAATAAAAAAACTAAAAACATGCCATGGAAATTTTGTTTTTTAACACTACCATGATGATAATACCATGGCATTGTTTAAAATACCTCACAGTGCAATGATGTATGGATATGAGAATCAAATACTGCATCATGGTCAGCATTTTCAATGACTTTTCCAAGCTTGAAAATTAGAATTGTACAATTTATAGGTTAAAAATACTATAGTACTACCATAAATGTTCAAAAACCATTGTATAGTCATGCACTAAATATTACTAAAACATTAAAATATTTACAATAATATAATAAATATGAACATAAGCCATATAAATATTATTTTTAACACTATCAAGATGGTAATACCATGGTATTGTTCAAATGTACCTCAAAGTACAGTGACAAGGAAACCAAATAGCATCTTTCAAGCCTGGAAAAACCCCATCGACATTTAAAAATTCCTTGATATTTGCAGGTTTTTTCCTGGCCGTGGGAACCCTGATAATGGATAGGATGAGGTAGGACCGGTCAGCGTGAGCTGCTTTGTTAGCACTCCAGCACTGATAAATGATTTACGATGCCGGTTTCTGGAACATCAATACCATCTCTTTTCTAATTAAAAAGAAGCCGCCCACAATGTTGCACACAACGGTATTCAGTCGAGCAGGACGACGAAAAGATCATTCCAAACGAAAAGCTTCTGTAGCATTCATCGTGTTTTGGAACAATTTTATTTCCATAGTTTCACATTTTCAGTTAATGTGCTGAGTAGATCAATTGAAAACAAAAGTGGCTGGCGCGCACGGTTCGAGTTTTTCCAGTGAGTCATACGTGTTTTATTTTGTTAAATACGGACGTCCTTTCAAGTAACGGAAAGTGAAAAAGGAAACTTAGGTAATTCTGAGTCAAACGTGCTCACTTTTGATGGTGAGTCACTCTTGAGGGTGATTGTGTGTGAACATTTGCAGCATTGCAAACGTAAGATGAGTGTATTTGCACCAGTGATGCTCAACTGCAGAAACACTACCACATGTGCACATGATAAAAACGATGCCTGCCATGTAAAGATGATACTAAAATGACTGTATGTTCACGTGCATCCCAAATAATACACTGCATTCAACCAATGCACTATAGTAAATATGTTGTTCGACTAATATCATTAAAAAAAAAATGCATACAGCATGTTTCCACATTGGCCATTATGTTAATTTGCTTCACAGAATCAATTTTTTGTTGTAAATTATGATGTACAGTTTCATAAAAATGTTTGGTTTGGTTTCATAAATACACAGATATCAATCTGCGCATGTTTCATGAATGAGGCAATAACAATATCCACATTAAATGATATTCACTAATAAATACTTGTACCAATTGTACAGCCATACATTTTATAACCTTTTTTATTAGTACTTAGTGCTTATTATTACTAAAATATTAAAATATTTAAAATAACATAACAGAAAATTAAATATAACTATAAAAAAACTAAAACTATGTCAATATGAAGAAAAATAGCAATACAAATATCCAAATTAAATCATATTAACTACAAAAAGTAAAAATACAAATAGTACCAAAGTATTACCATGCATGTCTAAAAACCATTGTATAACCATTTATTTATTTACTGCTCACTATTACTAAAATATTAAAATATTTAAAATAATAAAATAGAAAATAAACAACATTGCACCAAAAAGTACCATGATATGAGTACCAACATGAATATGGTAATCACTCAGTGAGTCTGCCACAGTATGTTTTGTAAGTCAAAAGCAGTTACACTTGACTGTTCGGTTTTGGCTCAAACTTGAAGATCATCCTGTAGTGTGTGTGTGGGTGGGAGGTTATGGTAGGTGTGAAAAGTGTGGCCCTATGGGGACATATAGGGACTCTCAGTTCATCACGTGACTCTCAGAGAACCACAAAACCAACACAGACAGACAGACAGAGTCATGCTCAGACAACAGGGGGCGCTAGAGAAAGCCCTGATCCAAACCTAGTGTGCTGCCTACACAGACCACCATGAGCAAACCCAGTACTGATTATAAATACGTTTATAGTTTGAAAACAATCAATAATCCACTTCACAGTTCAATCCAAACGGATTATTCTACCCAGTATCTGTGTGCTGTTTATTATTCGTTTTAAAGTATTGCGACATTAGTTTAGCAACACGTTAATGCACAACTCTCGACTTGAATCGCTGTTTGTTTGAGTTGTTGACTATGCAGAGCGTTACAAGCCAATCACTAGTGAGCTTTCATTTCAGTAAGGATGCTAAAGACTTAAGGCTCATTCACATGAAAAACGATAACTAAAATGATAGCTATATAACCACACCAGCGGACGATAACGTTCTGTTTATTAAACCCACGCACTGGAGTTTTGTCATCTGTCACTTTAAATGCTCGTGTTCTTTGAAGTATGGTGGATTCTGATTGGCTGTCGGTGTTTTTATCATTCATCTGCTGGAAAAAATAAATCCCACCGTAATTCCAATTATATTTTTAATCTTTAGTTATCGTTATTGTTGTGGTGTGGATTGGAATTAGAATTACGAAGTGTTAACATGACACAGCTTTTGACTAAAAACTGAATTTTTTTTACGCGTTTTGGCCATTCATTTACACAACAACAGCGTTTTGGGGGCCTGAAAGCGCAAACTTTTGAAAACGGGTTTCAAAGTGTACGTTTTTGAAAATGCTAGCATTATCATCTCCATGTAAAATACAAAAATGCAAATTTGTGAAAACGGTGAGGTCGTGCACATGCTTAATGTGCATGTAGTCTATAGGAATGCGTATGTGCACAGGCACATTCAAAGTCACAGCGCCAACTACTGGCCTGGCATACATAACATAGCGTTTTTAGTCATGTTTGCGGAGTCTTTTTTACAGCGATGTCGCCTGTATGCAAAACTTTTCAAAAACGTTGTCATGTAAAACGTACATTGTACACTTTTGTCATGTAAAACCCTTAGAAGGATTATTTAACTTTTTAGGTGTCATTATTGTTATTTTCCCAACCCGGTCTCGTGGCAAATACGTACCTGGGGGCACATTTTTGCAAGATGCGAAATACGTACCAATAAGTACATATCACTGCAGTTTCCAAAAAAAATCACTAGAGGCAGTAAAACTCCAACACCTTTTAAATTATTTTCACACAGAGTATGATTTACAGAGTTTCGATTAATAAAGCGTAATTTTCGCACAATTACTTGAAGAGTATTATGTTGTGACTTCAAAACATTTTTAATATGCTGGGAGATTTGAATCCAGCTTCATATTAATGGGTTTTCATCAACGATAGGTTTGTTCGGTAGCTCACGGAGTACGGAGACGTACTTGAGAGACGAGGAGCTCTGGTTCAAATCCTGTGTAACTACGGTTTGACAAAACAGTTCAAATCTGCATATAAGGTAGTTAAAATGGCACGGTTGCATCAAAAAATGTTTTTTTATATCAGTTTTGCATTTGTTAACACTATCGGGTAGGTTCGAGGAGCTCTGGTTCAAATCCTGTGTAACTACGGTTTGACAAAACAGTTCAAATCTGCATATAAGGTAGTTAAAATGGCACGGTTGCATCAAAAAATGTTTTTTTATATCAGTTTTGCATTTGTTAACACTATCGGGTAGGTTTAGGGTTGGGTTTGGTGTAGGGCATATTTCCAACACGACAGAGCATTATCTTTTAGCGACAGTCCCCGGATATTTGAATTCTGAGCCGCCGCAATACGTGCCTGAAGAAACGTAATAAAAACATAGCAATATGTACCTATATCAACGTAATAAAAACGTGCAAAGGGTTGACGTATTGAACCCGTGTTTTAGCGCCACTCAGTGGACATTTCTCTTTGAAACTGCGGCGAAACGTGCAGTAAGGTACGTAAAAACTGTGTTGCAGAAATGTACGCAGAGGTATGTATTTTTATGAGACTGGGTTGTATTTTCCTTAGTGTGAAAAAAGCATGCAACTGCAAACAGTAACTACGCAAGCTCGATTTTACAACTAGTACGTGTTGCATTGGCAGTGTATGCTATAGCATTGATGTTAGCATCTGTGTACTTGTATAGAGTACGTTTCTGGTCTGCTAGCTGCTTGGATCAGAGCTGAAGAAGGTAAGAGCGTCGGGTCTCACCCCTGACGAGGGCAGTCTTTTCTCCTCAGGGTTGGGCCTCACGGGTAAAGCGCCGTACAGCCTAACACCTCGATCTCCTACACCGTATCTGCTCTGAGAGATGGAGAAAAGAGGAGACAGACAGGAGAGAAAAACAGAGGACAACGGGCCTGACTTAGAAGAGTCTCAGAGGAACAAGAGACACAAACCACCGGAGACAATCAACATCACTAATCGAAACATCAGCAATAACAAACAAGATTTCTGTGGTGTTTTCCCTCACTAAAAATGATACTAGGCTGGATGTTGTTTCAAAGGTGTTGCTATGCAGAGTGGTTTCTAGGGTACTCCAGATGGTTTCAAGTGGGTTACTATGTGGTTGCCAGGGTGTTGCTATGCAGTTGTTTGCATTCTAAGTGGCTGCTAGGGGGCTCCAGATGGTTTCAAGTGCATTACTATGTAGTTGCCTGGGTGATGCTATGCAGTTGTTTGCATTCTGTTTGTTACTATGTGGTTGCCAGTGTGTTGCTATGCAGTTGTTTCTGTTCAGAGTTGTTGCTATGGTGCTCCATATGATTTTAAATGTGTTAATATGTGGTTGCCAGGGTGTTGCTATGCATTTGTTTGCATTCTGAGTAGTTTCAAGGGGGGCTCCAGATGTTTTTAAGTGTGTTACTATGTGGTTGGCAGGGTGTTGCTATGCAGTTGTTTGTATTCTGAGTTGTTGCTAGGGTGCTTTAAATGGTTTTAAACCTGTCGCTATGTAGTTGCTAGGGTGATGTTATCTAGATATGGCTCGGCCCCCTCCATCAGTGTGCGTCTATGTTTTTTTTCAGCTGTTTTATCATCCAGCAGGTGTAAATTGTGTGTCTGAACTGTAATATTTGCTGTCAGGGCTTTGATCACATGACTATCAGCACTAGTACTAGTAAACGCCACTAACAACATATTGTGCTCAGCAGGAGTAATGACATATGAACTGATTTCAGTCAGTCATTCTGGCCTCTTCCCACTGCGTGTATCAGTGTGTGTGTGTGTGTGTACGTGAGTGAGTGTGAGTGAGTGTGTGTGTGTGTGTGTGTGAGATCTCCTCTGTCCCGCTCTGTGTGTGAGGCTTGTTTGAGGAAACGCTCCCGGCAGGAGTTTTGGCAGTCTAGGTTTTGGGAATCGGAGCAATCCAACATCTAATGATTCACACAAGAGAGTGTGCCAGACACACACACAAACATATTAAACTAGAGTAGTGTACTTGTAGTGTACACTGCTGTCTATCAAATGACCCAAGAGAAATATTACAAGAGGATGATGAAATACAGCCTCAGGCTCATTAACAAAATACCATGGTAAACGTACAAGATAATACCACAGTATTCTTTGAAGTACCATGGTATATGAACAGCGCTGGGTAGTAACTGATTACATGTAATCTGGATTATGTAATCAGATTCCAAAAATGTAGTATGTAGTGTAATTTGATTATATTACATTTTGAAATGTACATAATCAGATTACATTTACTTTCTATGGATTACATGATTACAAATAATTCACAATTCCAAATTTTACCCAAACATTACCTAAAATGAGTAAACTAAATTACATTACTAACAACTATTTTCATTATGTCATTTGTAATGTGTATGAATATGGAAAAGGTTGTTTATTTTAAATACTCATGCATACAAAAAAAAAGTACCAAAAATGTTTGTTCTTTGGACATGCACATCTCAAAGTACCACAGTAATACCACCTGACACATCACAGTACCATGGTACCTTCGATCTCTTCAAAAAATCAACAAGCTTGATGTAAAATCTTTCCTCACACTAATATTCGACAATCATTCTCTCTCAGCCAGTCTTCATAACACAAGCAAACCCACACGTGAAGTGATTCAAGTGCTGAATGAATCTGCATATCACTGTAAATCAGAAAGTGCTGTATGACTAACAATATGCTGTCAAGTAAATCCAGAGTGCCGTATTTAGCGCGGTGAGAATGTCCCTCATCAGAAGTGGCAGCTCGGGCCGGCCACGATGACTGCGCCGCTAATCGCCCAGACAGAGTGAAGGGACCGTGGGATGTTGTCATCTACTTTTCTTTCTTTCTCTCTGATTTGTATCTCTCTCATCACTGCAGCTAAACTTAGACACGCGACAGGGGTTTTCTGCACCTCATGTCTTCCTGTTAACCGCCGCACGTGTCCGTAATCGATGTGCCCTTTACTGCAAACTTTACTGTAACCCGTGGGTGACTTGAGAGGGCATTTCTGAATGTCTCTACCGAACAGATACCAGAATAATTGTGGTGAAATCACCTGTTTGACTGGAAGTTGAGTTTAAAATAAAAAGCTCATGGATAAACATTCGTAGTTGACATGTTGTGTATTTCTGCTAGCTTAGCTAGCTTGCGATGTGGCTACTAACACATGCAGACACATACAAACACATGCAAATACTTTAACACAACCAGTGAATCACACTGCATATGCATCTCTGGGGAATATATATATATATATTTTAGTGCTGTCAAACGATTAATCGCGATTAATCGCATCCAAAATAAAAGTTTTTGTTTACATAATATATGTGTGTATACTGTGTTTATTTATTATGTATATATACATACACACACATGCATGTGTATATTTAAGAAAAATATGTTACGTTTATATATTAAATAAATTTACATATGATATAATTTTTATGAATATAAATGTATACACGTAAATACATGTAAATATTTTCAAAATATATGCTGTATGTGTGTGTATTTATATATACATAATAAATATACACAGTATCTCTACATACATAAATATGTATGTATATATATATATATATATGGTCAATATATATATTGAAATCACACTACATTATGCATGCTTAAGCATGCAAGGGAAACCCATTTAACATATTGTTCTTCTGAATAATGTGACTTGATGAATTGGCAATTAAAACTACAATTATTTTAAAAAATTGTTTTTGTTAATTGACAAGGCTGAAATAAATATGAGATGAAAAATGTAGATAAAAATTTGATAAAACATTAAATTTATTAAATTAATTATATCGCAATAAAAATAAAAATAAATAAAAATAATTTAAACTTAAAAATAAATTAAAACTAAGTAGAAAAAATCTAATAAAAATGACACAAGCATGAAAGCATGAAATTACTAAAACTATATAAATATAAAAAGAAAAGCTAATTCAAAATATGGATACATACTGTAACATTACAGTATATAAATTAAGCTAAAATAATGCTGAATAAGACCAGGAACATGTATATAGAGAGGTCATGTAAGCATGCAATGCTGTGTTAAATATAAAACTGCTAACGTCGATGCTTTCTGACACGATAGTGAAGGAGAAAGGACGTTTAAAAACAAACAAACAAGACCGAATCCGCATTAAAGAGAAACGCAAAGCACCAGCTGCTTGATGCAAATGTTCCGTAAACCGCAAGACCATTACTGCAGTTTGAATATTGGATATTATTACAATGCAAATTGCATAGGGCTAGAGATTAAGTTGCAATTATGGCCTGAAAAGCATCAAGACCGGTGGAATGATTCTATTTCAGGCGCTGCATGCTGGGATACAGACAGTAGGGATGTACTTAGTAATATTAAATATAGTATAAAATACTAGGTGGTGTGGCTGGGTACTAAGTGTGTGTGTTTAAGTGATCATGCCAAACACTTAACGCTGCTCAATAAGGGTGAGATAAATTAACTCGACAAGCAGGAGAATAAATGTCAACCCTGCGGTGGAACCCAACACTTATAACAGTTCAGCCAAACATGAAGATCCTCATTTCATTCCAACTCATACGGTTATTTTTGCGTGAAAAACTTTCAAGGAATGTTCACTCTGCTTTTTTCTATACAGTTTATAATGACCAAGTCTGTCATGCTTCAAAAAGGCTAAAAATACCATGCAAGTATCGTAAAAGTAGTCATTGTGACTTCTGTGCTATAATTATAATTATAAAAACTCTTCTGACTCAAATGTAAGATACTTTTATGATGTTTTTGTCTGTATATGCTTTCATTGCATGGGACAGAGCAGCACGAAGGTGTCTGATGAGTAAATGATGACGGGATCTTCATTAGTGGGTGAACTAGTCCTCTAACTGGAAGTTCTGTCCAGTGTTTTTCCGTCTGTGAGTCATAAAACATAATCAAAACAAACTAATATAAAAGAGGGCGAATGATTATAAATGAGATGGAAACAGATCTGTGTCTGGCTTTCTTTCTTTCTTTTTGGAGTGATTGTTAGATTTCTCATTAGTCTCTTACAGATTCTGTCTCATTATGTAAATAGGGGGATTTGTCTTTTGGGTAGTGTGTGTGTGTGTGTGTGTGTGTGTGTGTTTAATTAGGATTACACAGACAAATGGGGATGGGGTGCTACTGAACACCTGCAACACAACACAGACACACACACACACAGTCTGCACACACACATGCACGCACGCACACACACGCACGCACACACACACACACACGCACACGCACGCACGCACACACACACAGGTCATTACCAGGATCTGTGCTGCTTTTGTGGGAACATTTGGAGAATTCCACAAATGAATTCAAATATGGTCAAATAATGGAGTTGACTATTTATTGCACTATTATACATAATCAAAATAGCTGTAATATTTCATAAACCTTTCCCTGATCCGTTAACACTCACTAATATAATTTCTGAAACACAAAAAAACTCAAACTGGACAGAAGATGTTTCAGATTCAAAAACTCACATCTGATGTTAATCAGTCAATTAATTTGTTCATAAGTTAATTAAAATTATGTTTCCAACTAAGCACATTTCTGGATGCCCCTGAATAGAGGTTCAGTCAGATTTAACTCATTTCCGAGCACAAAACTACAGTCAAATAAACCCATACACACATTCTGTATTATTTCTGTAGGACGCTGATGTTTCTCGGAGACATTTAGCTACTTAAAACTAACCTAAAGTGAACCAGCGGTCCGAGCGATGGCTTTTATTTCTCTCTGTCATTGCATCACAGCTCAAATCTCTTAAGCACACAATGTTCCCACAGGCCTTTACATCGAAAATAACTCTGGCTGGACGCCG